AAAGCGCCTGGCCTAGACCAGCCTGCCTGCAGCCCGAGTCTCCCTAGGAACTGCAGCAGCCCCTATGTGGGGCCAATCACAAAGCTGTAGAATTGCAGGAGGTGATAGATAAGGGGCAGCTGGACTGAGCTGTCCAACACTGGATCACTACTGAAAAGAAACAGAACGCTAGCTCCAAAACTTAGCCTGTCCCCTCCCACTGAGGGGCTGAGCAGCCCTGGTTCACATTGGCCCAGCAAACTGCTTGTGCACATCACAGAAGCCTCCCTACAGCCTTAATAGAAGTTTAGTCCATTCTGTCTCCATTCATGCTGGGAAATGGTGTGGTGGCAGAGGGCTCAGGTTGCCATTATTGTTGAAGTTGTATTATTGTAGGGAGTACGACCCCCGAGAGGCTCAGGCCAGAGTTCCAGGAGCTGGCAAACTTCAAGTGAGGCTTACAAATCTAACTAGACGAAGGGTGGAAGCGGTCACCAAGAGGTGAAGTGACTTGTTCAAGGTCATGCAGCATGGCTGACAGAGCTAGGAGCAAAACCCAAGTCTCCTGAATCCCAGCCCAGTGCATCATCCACTGGCCCACCCTGCTTTGCTGATCTTGTTACCCTCAAATTTAGACGCTAATCAAATTACCTACAAATTTGTCTAATTTAACAAAAAGGGTAAACAAGGCTGTGGTCCGCCCTACAGGAATTGCCAGAGTATTACCAGGGGGCTTGTCTCTGACCCGCAGAGGGCTCCCCAGAGCAAGCTAGTCTTGCTAACCCCTGAAAGGACACGGATACATCCTTCCGATCAAGAATGGACACACAAACAGTAAATTCTTTGAAAACAAAAAAATGATTTATTTAAAGGAAATAAGTGGTTATAATGTAGTGAATGAAGCAAACAAGGATACATAGAACATAGTAAAATGCAATAGAGTTACATTAAAGAATTAAAGCGCCACAGCAAAATAAAAGACACAGACTACATAGAATATATTTAACACATAAGAAATACAGTGGTTTCAATATAACAAGCACATTGTGGTCCCGCATACACAAAGGCTTTTAAACTTAATGTTACAATTAATCTCGTACTTAATACAATGTAATATGCACGGCCTCTATATACGCATATGAGAAATCATTACCACATGTACAGATTAAGAATAAAATATTTACTTCACATTCACATTGACATTAACATATAACAAACACTTAATACCTAACACTACCTGTTTACATTAATATTTACATTCACATCCTGTGAGGGCTGATCAGGCTGGTCACAGAATGGGTAGGGGAGATCTCACTCAGACCACTGGCATCCAGCCTTATTTACAAGTGAAACCCACACATTCCTTAACAATAGATAGAAAATCAGACTTACACTCCTTCTTAGATCCCCTCTGTTATGTCTAAGGGTCCTTCTGCTCTGTCTTATGGCTAGTTGAGGTGGCCGCTCGATCTCGGAGAAGCTCCTGAGGTGAAAGCTGCCCTCTGGTGACAGATACAGAAGCCTGTGCTGTCCTAAAAGCTGTTGCCTTCTTCGTTGGCTGGGTTGCTATAGTAGCCATTGCCAGGGTAATCTCAGGGTTCTACTGCTGCTGCTGCTGCTTCTTCTTCTCAGGTAGATGTTTTCCAGATAGGGTCTTTTCTTAGCAGGTGAGTTGCAGCTACTGTTCTCCACCGACCCCCAAACCCACTACAAGTTCAGCCTGCTGGCTGTCGGCCTTATATGCTACATGCTCTCGCAAGGTCAGCTAATTAACATAATGTATTAACCTGGTTCAACCAATCAGCTTCCAGATATTAGCATATTTTCTCTTTCTGTCTAGATCCTCCCCTTTTATTAGCATAATGTCACATGTACTCACATGTGCTTGCCTGTAATTAGCATGCTGTCACTCTAGAAGTGCTCCTTCCCTGATGCCATCTTGGATTCTAAGACTTTGCTGAGTCATTCTCCAGTACTACATCATCCCTATAGCCACCATCTTGGTCAGCCATGTTGGATTTTCTAAATTTAAACTAACATTAAGGCTCTAATTAAGTAGAAATTAATCTTAAAACTAATTACTATTCATGCAAACTAAAGGGTCCTGATACTGTCACCACTCTTTTTATGTCCAATTAAAAGAAATGTAATTTCACGATATTTAAACCCCTTCTGAGGTTTTTCTGCAAGCTTCTTATCAGAGTGCTGCAGGGTTTTTCAAAACAGCTGAAAGCAAAAATCTCTCATTACAACGTATCTATTGATTAATCATAAACCTCTCAAAAGGTTGAGCAGAGTTCTCTGAAATAAATTCAGAAGCTTCAGAGAAGGACAGTTTCAGTTCTAGCATAATTTCAGTCCATACACAAATTCTTTCTAGACTGGCCATTTCATGTTATATATACGCTTGGATTTCCATTTTTACAAAATCTGCCTCCTTGCCCTAAAAAAATAAAATAAAAGCAACTTCTCTCCTTCTCATCTCAAGTCCATTTCCTGGATTATGATTTTGGATCAGATTGTGACATTAAAGCACAGCCTGGAGTACGGGGCAGTGAGGAGCAATAATTCCCCAGTGGAAGCACGGTGAGGCATTGAGCCAGCTGACCTCAGTAGGGCATTAGAATTCAGAACTGAATCCCCAATCAAAGCAAACCTCTTTACATTTATTAAGAATATGAAAACAAGAGAACATGAGCTAAAGTTTAATTTGGGACCAAATGAAAAGTTTAGATATAAGATTTTCAAGGAAAAAATAACAGAATTCCAGTAGAAACATTTGCTGAATGGATAAGGGGAAAAAATGATTTGACAGAGAAAGCAGAAGGATTGCACTATGATAGCCTTTGAGGCGTTTCCCCTCGGATTTCTTGTTTTATAACATTTTTCTAAAACACAACACCCACAACTGTTTTTCCTGATCTATCAAAGCATAAAATTGCCAGTCCTTTGCCCTAACTTAAATCAAGGAAGTAGCAATGTTAGGTTTAATTAAAAACAGCAAATATTTGTACAGCTGTCCCTGTTTTCACAGCACAGAAATAGGTTTAGCATCAAATCTTACAGTTTTAAGTCTCCTGGGGACCATATACAAAAACATATAGGATCCTTCTGGCTCACTTTCCAAAGCCAGAAATGCCTTTTTTTTGGAGTTATTTCAGGTGGGACTCTTTCACTCTTCCTATTTCCAACTACTTTCCTGCTTGAATAGGGTTTTTTCCTCGCTCCAAAAAGAGCACTGTCAAGCTTACAGGTTTAGATTATTTGATGCACCTTGGAGTTCATAATAAAATAATAACAAAAGCAGAGAAATAAACATTTTAACGTTACCAACAACAATTTCAGCTTTAATATACAAAAAAAATAATTGATTGATGATCCATCTCACCACAAGTGTCCCCTTTCCTAGAAGCAGGCACTTCGTTTCTCTTGGAAAACCAGTGTCAATCCAGAAGTCTTGTTTACACTATTGTAGCGAGGGACCATTACACTCCCCTTGGAGGGCGGAGTCTAGATCACCCCGCCCCCCTCACTGGAAGTATAAAAGGCCGGCCCTGCAGCACAGTTAGGGGAAAGCCCGTGGAGAAGGATGCTCTGCTGGTTTGGCTGTGTCCCCGAGAGGAACCCTTACCGGGCAGTGCCCAATCCACAGATGCTGACAAGGACTGGTTCGGAGTCCCTGCTGCCGTCTACCCCAAGGAACCGGAAGAGGCCTGGAGGCTAGAGGTACCGAACCCTGGGGTGGCAGGAAGTGGCCCGGAGCAGCCGGCTGCAGAGCCAGGTGTGGCTCAGTCGGCGTGTTGCGGCTGGATCCCCGCTGACGCAGGGACAGCCAATCCTGCCCCTGCCAGGGCCCTGGAGTGGGATGCGGTGGAGTAGGGTGGGCCTGCGTTCCCCTGACTCCCTACACTGTGCAAGGAGGCTCTAGCTCTGAAGAGGAGCTTCCCTTACCAGTCACCCTTAGACTGTTTTGTTTGCTGGCTGGGTGAGCTCCGCCCAGGCCAAAGCCAGCCCTTAGAGACTGTTTTGTTTGCTGGCAACCTGAGCCTACTCAAGCCCAGGCCCCAGCTCACCTGTAGACTGTTTTGCTTGCTGGCTGCTTGAGCTCTGCCCAGGCCACAGCCAGCCTGGATAGACTCTGTTTAAGAGCTGACTACTTGAGCTACCCAAACCCAGGCTAAAGCCTGACAGTGTAATCGCCCAGCCCTATTGTGGGCTCTTGGCTGTCTTGCAGACTCTGGTCCTGGCCAGACAGGACCAGCCTGAGTGGCCTCCCTCTGAGCGGGAGAGCGCGGGACCATTACAACTATGTTTATGTGCCTTCTAGTTGTCAGATGGGGGCAACATGAATGAAAGCAATTTTAAACTACTGTGAGCCTGTTAATACATAGAGTTGAGCCTGAGATGGAGAATTCAGACCGAGCTCTTAACATCCCCGAAGTTTGGAGGTGTTTGGATGTAAGGTTTTGCTTCTGGCCCTACTCTCATTTTAAAATTACTCACTGAAACAAACACATTGTAAAATCCTTCTTCTTCAAAGGGAGAGAGACTTTAAAAATTGCTTACACACGAGTTCAGAATAAGTCTCCCTTCCCTCCCTCACCCCACAAATGAGAGAGAGTTAATAGATCTCATCCCAGGAGAAACCATATAAGGATTTATACCAACTAGTGCAAACGTATTAAAAGAAACGTGTTACAAATTTAGGCACCCACACAAAATACAGTGCATATGCAGGTCGTTCTCCAGAAAGGAGAAGAAACCAGCTGCCTGTCTGAAAATGTACACATGAGAAGCTCCATGGAGCTTGGGTCCAAGAAATACAATGAAGGACTGATCTTTTTAACAAGTGCTGAAATGAACCACAGCTATTGACCCCAGGCTGAAGGGGAGGGGCAGGTGGCCACCCACTGGGGGAAGAGATAAGAAAAGAAGGGATGGGAAAAGAGGGGGAGGGAAAAAGGCCAAACAAGGTTTAAAAACACTCCATCCCGTGGAGGGGAACAGAGGCAAGAGAGCTGATGGCCAGATCAGTACCTTTATTTGTCTCTCTAAACCACCAGCTGGTTGCTCTCCAAACCCTGCAGCTCTTGCACCACCAGCAGCAAGGTGAGGATGCCAGAGCCTGCCATCCCCACTACAAATTGGATCAGGCCTCTCCACCGCTCAGCACAGGTATGTATGGCCCGGCTCTGCATGACATGGGACAGGGCCTGGATGCAGCCAGGTCTAGTCAGGCTCAGGAGCAGGAGGAAGGCAGAAGAGCAGCAAGCAAAACCTCTGAGGAGGAAGAAGAATGTGGATCCCAGGCTCTTTCTAACCCAGGTGAGCCCGGGCCAAAGGATTCAAGACAGCTGGGCCCAGCCAGGCCCCGAACACTTGCACAGATTGCTGTGCACAGCATGCTGTCCCGAATAGTAGATTCAACATCCCAGCTTGTCAGCGTGGAACAGACTCTCCTGCTCCCTCTGTTTCAGGAACATCCTTTTCCTATTCACCTAAAAGTAAGTAGTGAGAGATCAAAGGACTCTTGTCCTGGGCTTCCTTCTGCAAATGGGCAGTTAATTGCACTGTTTGGGGCATCCTTGTATATGCTGGATTCTGTCAGACTGACTGGAGCAGTTTTATTTACGTTAATTTGCAATGAAGTAATTACTCCAAATCATTTTAGGATTGTACAGAGTTTACAAAATAATTATAAAGTCAATGACAATCCTTTGTGCTAGCACCGCGGGGGTACTGGATACAAATGCTCTTTTGTTGTAGTTGGGGTTAGTGATGCTTTAAACCATAAATTAGGAAGCGTAGAATTTTTTTAGGAGATATTTACATTTTCCACATAAAGCCTCAAACTCCCATATGCTGTTATGGTACCTGAAGAGCCCAGTCAACAAATATGAAGAGACAAAGAGTGACTTGTAAGTGAAATGTCGATTTTCATAGAATAAGAGAACCATCGCATATGATTCCAGAATGACAAGTTATATCTATAGCTGAGATTTAGTGAACATATGTAAGAAGAGGTCCTCATTTTGCTGGTAAAAGGGTGGTGCATATTATCACAAGAAAAATTCTTGTGGCCCTTTGACATTCAAGAAAAAGCCATGCATAGGGGACTGGGTAATTCATTTGTGTGTGATACAGAGTCCATCACCTGTTGGTCTCTGGGTTCAAATTTGGTCCAGCTTGATTGTGACCAAAAGTCATTACCTTAGGATGACTTATTATGTAAAATGAATTGTAGTCTCTGTCTAATTTTTCACAACAGATGTACACATCACAAAAAGCACATTTCACCCCAGTTCGCATTCTTGTTGATCTTCCTAACAGAGAGGCTGTAAATTGAACCAATATACGGATGTCTCTACCCTTTCACCTTAGCAGGCAGACCCTCCAGGTGCAGATTGGCATTGGCAGGGCAGTGTGGGAGAAGCTGGAGCCATATCTGTTCAGTGAAAAACCAAGGTCAACCTTTTCAGAAGTTGCTTCTGATTTTAGGTGCCTGAGTATTTGGGTGTCCAGTCTGAGACATGTCACAGACCTGATTTTTTCAGAGGTGCTGAGCACCCATGCTCCCCCTGACTTCAACTGAAGTTGTAGCTGGTCAATACTTCTGAAAATCAAAACCAAGGTATCTCACAAGTTGGGCACTCAACAACTGAGGCACCAAAAAAAAAAAAAAAAAATCACAGGCTACCTTTGAAAATTTTGGTCTAGATTATTTCAGTCTCCAGGTGTATTAATCTAAGACTTTTCACCAGAAATAAATTCACTTGTGGGGGGTAAGGAATCAAAGAGGGAAAAGCCTTGTGTGAAGTGGAAAGAGTCAAGATTTAAAAAAAAAAAATCAGCTGAAACGGGTAGACCTAGCATTCCTATGCTAGTGAAAAACAAATGTACAATTGTTTATTGGAATGTTGTAATATTGACTTTCCAATATGACACCGTCATTGCTAATATGTAAAAATAAATAATATTCTTCATTAGCACAAATACTAACCAGATAGAATACATCCACCTCAAATAAGGCTTTATTTTCTTTCTATTCTTTCCCAGAAGAGCTTTAATATCTGTGTGGGTGAATGCATCTTTTAGATGCCACTGGGAATAACACTAACTTTGGATTCTCATATTACTATTCTACTTGAAGTCAGGTTAGATCTTTTCTTCAGGGAATGCCCATTATCAGGACCAACTGAACACTGGGATTTTCCTGGGTCAGTTTCTATGACTAGGTTAAATAAATTCTGCGGTGTGTTTCCATAAAATCGGAGTAATTTAATTAGGTCTTTTAGCTGTGAGTAATTTCATTGCTGCAGGTTTTAGTTTTAAAACAGTTGGATTCCAAGGATTCAGTTTACATGTTCACCCTGCCGGGAAATTTAGATGGAAAAAGCCTCTTACAACTGAACTTTTAGCTGCAGTTCTCAGATGACATGGACATAACCTCTCAAACAGAATAAAAATAGCAGCTGTCCATTCAGTCACACTTTCTACAGCCAAAACACAACCATCCTCAGAGCACAGAAATGCTCTTAAGTGCTAAATGGCCAACTTGGTCTCAGTCACACCGCAAATACATTCATTACTTGCTACAGTTGCTCTGTGGGGCTGCTCCAGACAGTCCAGAAATGGTCTTATTTATATTCTTATTGGTGGTGTCAGTTGAAAAAAAAAAAAGTCACAGGTTGCTATAAAAGTGGCCCAAAAATGTAGCTACATGTGGCTTGTGAAAAAAGATCCAAACAACCAGCATTATAACATAGTAAAACGTGCATACTCCAGAGACTACCATAGACCTGAAAGCAATGCTTTTTCTAGCTCCCAGGATGCATCAGACAATATTGGTGTGGGAAGCCTGAGAGAAGTGGCTCAGTGTTAATTTATGATGGAAAGTTAAGCTCCTGTGAGAATTCTGATGGACCTTCCTTTAAGTTTGACAGGTCACTTGACCGGCAGCATCATCCACAAACAATATACTAGTGACTTTGGATTTCAGACATCCACGCTAATATATGTTTCTCTACCATAATTATGCACTTCCAGGATGAACAGATCAGTCAGTACAGTACTAAAAGCGAGAGATTTTGTATTTTGGGCAGCACTTTGTGCGTATTTGAAAAGAAAACATAAAATGAAAAGATTCCTGAAATGGGAGTGTGCAGCTTCCCTGTGCTATGGGCAGGTGCAGACTTCATTACCACTGCTCTTTGATAACATCCTGCCTCCTGAGCTGGAGTAACTGAGGGGTCACTGAAGTGTTACTAACTCAGAAATGTATAACAAGATTGGATTGGACTAAACTGGATCTTAGCCAGCTGGAAATGGAATATAAATTATACTAGGAAGTTAAAATAACTATCACAGTTTCAAAACAGTTTTGGTATTTAAAAAAAAATAGTGCTTGTGAAAGGTGGCAGACGGACAGTTCTGGATAGTGAGACCTGCCTGACAATGCGAGTTCCCCAGGCCTCTCCACTAGTGTTCTGTCGCTAGGTGTGAGAGGGTCTCCATGATCATAAAGGAATAGATCCATCTGGGTGGACCTTTATGCCTATTTGTTGCCTCACCGTGTTAGATCCTCAACTGGTGTAAACTGGCATAGCTGCATTGAAATCAATGGAACTATGTTAATATACACCAGGAAAGAAGTGGGACTCTGTGCAGGAGTAAGGGTGTGCCCAGGGGGACCTCTTTGTAGAATCAGGGTCTGCATCCCTAGTCTCTCTGCTCAGACTGTCAGCAACAGTGCCACTGTTTGTTGATTTTTGTTTTTCTGCTATATTGAGAGCAATATATAGGGAACAGAACTGAAGCCATATGCTCATTCAGCAACCAAAAGATGTGACATCAGAAACTACTGACCTAGACTAGATTCAAACTGGAGGACTAGAAGAGCTAGGCTCTGTATCCCAGCTAGTCCTCTTTAGCTATGATAATCTTTGAAAAATACTGTAATGCCAACACATTAGCTACTCAGAAAATGGCCAGGGTGTAGTGCCAGCAACACAAGCACCGTGCTCTTTTCTCACATGATTTTCACCATTTTTTCCAAAGCGCTATAGAACTGATAGTTGTTGCAATGAAGTATTTGTAATTACACTTAATAAAATCCTATTTTCTGAAAGCTGATTTCTGACCCAAAGGGAAGGTTCTCTTTTCCCACAAAACAACTGGCTCTAGAGTAGATGATACGCTGATTCATGAAGAGTGGTTTAGTGGTGATGGCAACCAGAAAATTGACCTTCATCAGAATTCTTATAAAACAGCAACAGAATCTTTACCTGCCACCACACATTAAACCAATTAAGTGCTCACGCACACACTTTTTTTGGGGTAGCTAATGAGGTTATAACATAATTCCTGTATCTTCTAGCAATGAATTTTCATTCTTACAGTAATTAATATGAAAATTGACCATGGAGAGGTTGCTCTAAAGTACAAACTATAAGCATCATTTTAAGTTGTTTGGGTATATTTAAAATGTTGACAAATAAACAATTTTTGGTTTTATTTCTAACAGCATGGAGATCATTTTTGGAACTGTCCCCAGAATCACTATGAATTCAGTGAGAAAATAGGTACTCATGGCTACATGACATTAACAATCTCTTCACCCTGATGATTGCTCTGTACTCTGCATTTGTGCCTGCTTTGTTAGAAAGAGGCTATATGGTAGCAAACCATAGGATAACTGGTTTTAATTTTTTCACAGAGTGACTTTACAAGAAATTATTAATAGTTGTATTATTTTTTTGTGAGAGATGACTCATCAGAAACAATACATAAAAGTCTTCCTAAATATAAATGTTTTGAAACACTATGGTTGGAGGGACTTTAAGACGACCACCCCTACAGACGTTCCTTCGGAAGAAGTTGAGGCTTATTGGCAGGGAAGCTTGCATTATACCTCTTCTGAGGAGGGAGGACTCAAATATTTAGTGTTGTCATTGTGGCACCTTTTACAAATGTGAAATAAACTCTTTTCAAAGGTGGGAGAGGGAAGAGAGGAAGGGGGGAAAACCCCAAGAAAACTAACGTGTTTAATTTTCTGAGAAATAATATTTAGCACGTCTATAATGCTTATATTTTCAAAATGCTTTACAAACATTAGCTAATTCTCTTAACATCTCTATGCAATAATGCTTACTTATGTCCATTTTATAGATCAGTAAATTAAGGCAAGGAGCTTAAAGCACTATCTTCCCTAAATATTTTACTGTGTTTAAAGCACAGTGGCTCCCCAGCCATTTACTAATATTGACTGGACTTGCCCATTTAAATGGGGCCAAACCATCTTATAATTACATTTAAAAAACTTTACTTCAGTTGTGGTTCTTTTCAAGACCAGGCATTATGATGTATTATAATTTGTATTATGGTAGCACCTATATGCCCTATCTCAGATCAATACTGGTCCACACTAGAATTTGGCCAAAAATTTCCACCATTGCTTCAGTTCCACCAATGGTACCAGCAGTGATGGAAGCAGTATTATAGACAAGGCACTTGGTGGTTGCAGGCCTTTCAGCCACCATGTTGTCTAACGCTGCTTACAGCAGATATAAACAACATGGTGGTTAAAATGCTAATGAATGCCAGCAACGTTGTCTGCACTAGCTTTCCCATCATTGCTGCTACCAATGGAGCTGAACTGGGAATAGTCATTGTGGAAAATTCTTGGTAAAAATGCCTGATGTGGACACAGCCACTGAGTCAGCAAAAGAGCAGACTGGAACTTAAAATCTTCTATATTCCAACTTCATAACAAATCCACTAGACCATGCACTTGTGAGCATGCTTAAGAAAAAAAACAATTTTCCTGACTGCAAACCATAAAGATCTACTTGATTTATCTATTTAACAGTTAAGAGTAAAAAATGACAGAAGTAAACAGGCCTTATTCTCTTTAATGGTGTCTTGTTAAGCATCATCATAAACTAAATTACACTAGTAATTAACACTAGTTAATATATTTATAATAGTGCTCAAAAATAAAAGCTGTTCAAGAAGAAATGTCCTACTGATTCAGCTCAATGTCAGGTGACAAATATCTAAAGCAGTCAAAGACTGGTTAAATATTTTAAGTCCTAATTTTAAGAGATTTAGAACTAGTGGGCCATGCAGTTCTTATTCTGGTGTAGCTCTGTCAGTGCCATGTGGGATATTAACTCATCTGTCTAAACATATGGGTCTTGACAAACAAAAGCTGCAGGAAGGATATGCTCCTGCGCTGAAATTGAAAACACTTCAAATGAAATCACTGCAAATATTTATTGTGTTAGTATTTTAATGGAAACTATGAACCACTTGAGCTATTGCTCTCGATCACTTCAGTTCACAGGTTTAGAACAGTGGAGTCCTAATACAGAAGGGCTTTTTTAGTAAGCACACTTTTCTATTTACTTCAGTTAGTTAATATCCAGGTGTTTTTTGTTGTTCCTTTTTGAAAGGAGAGAATGAAAATTTTCATTTTCTGTCCTGTATCCTAAAGTTCCCATGTGCTGGACACCTGGAAAAGCTGGCATTACTAGCTTGTTTACTTATTCAAATATATTAAGAGGTAAAATAAATTGCACTATGGATTTTATATCTAGGAAATTTCTGAATTCTACTAAAGGGAGCTTTATAGATCAGGATTCGAAAGGTGACCTTCAAAGGAACAATCAAAATATTTTTTTAAAAGGAAAAAAAATTGCTACTTACCTAGGGTCATGCCTTAGTGCTCCCCAGTTTTCCAGTGTTGGGGACATTCCCCAATGATGGAATCTCCGCACCTGCAGCAGACTTGCAATAAATGCCAGAGGACTTCTAGGGAGTCTAAAACCAAACTGGTTAGTTTTGCTTTATTTTTGTGCCGATTGCTCACCCCTGCCCGCTTAGTGAGGCCATTCAGCACATATTTCAGTGTTAACTCCTTTTTGATATTTTGTTTGCAGATCACCTTTAATGTTACCATAATGTAGCAGGTACTGCCTAGATTAAACACATTTGTGCAGTTTTAACAGGGCTTTATTTGAAATAATGGAGCTTTGGCCCATGAGGGGCTTGAACCTGCATTCCTTTAAGAACGACAGCTGACAACAGAGTCTAAACTCAGTTCTCCGAGAGCTAAAAGCACAAGCCTTTACCATTTCAGAGAAAGGACCAAGTATATTAACTAGAAGAAGTAGCAGACTCATAAGCCTCTTATGTGGAGCAGCTACTATAGGGGGACAAAGACCAACATTCTCCTAAGGTTCATCTGGAACATGCATTATGTAACAAAACGAATATATTAACACACATGATGTTAAACACTACTTTGCACCAAGTATAGACAAGAATAAATTGTTTAAAAAGCATTAGTGAGCATCACCCTAGGGTTAACCATGTCCATCTAACTTTTAAAACATGGTTGGCATGGTCTACACTAGATGCAAAGTCACTTGGTTAGAACTGGTTAATTAGCATGTTGTTCAACACAATGCATTTCCCTAGTGGACACAGGTCCTAGCGTGGATTATGCTTGCAGAGCAAGTTTTCAGGGAAGCCAGAGGGCCTTTTTGGTGTGCAGGAATATCAAAATCAGTCCAGAGACAGTTATCACAAATTAAACTACTAAAATTATGATTAATTGAAAGATAATTTTTAAAATGAAGCTGCTAAAGTTCAGTGGAGACTGGTGACATTTAAAAGCAGGTAGGTGAAACTGACACAAGGTTACACGTCACGACACTTTACAGCAATATGTAAAGATCAGAAATGAAAGTTCATGCCGAAGGTTTCTGTCTAGAAAGATGTGCTGTGCATGGCTAAAGCATTACTTGTCACTCATTTCTTTTTGGTTTGGCTTTTAGGATAGCATTGAGTTTAGAAACATCTGCAGTCATATGGCTTTACAGTTGGAGGGGCAGCAATTTGACAGAGACTTACATGCAGCACACCAGTGTTTGAGGACCATCGTTGAGAAACTGATTCATTCACTTGCAGTTTTCCCCTCCGATTTGTATGCCATAGCCCAAGCTTCACTGAGACAAATCCTACAAAACCTCCCAGAGATGTGAAACAGTCACACAGACAAGAGTGACTAATATGTGTAAGAGGTGATAGTACAACCCTACCTCTCAATTGCCTCCAAAATGATGTGTAATTTAAAAGGTTGAATCTGAAGCCTCCGCTCACACGAGTGATCCCATTAACTTCACGTGAGTAAGGACTTCATAATCAAGATCCCAATCCTGCAAACTGTTGAGCACCCTTTGTCTTCCTGGCCAAACTGGTATGAATGGGAATTGAGGGCACCTCCAGGAGTTGATCTGCACCTTGCAGAATTGTGCCCCACATGAACCAGGACTATAGAGCTGGACCCTAAAATTGGGACATTGGTAAAAAGAATGGTGGAGAAGAGGACTGGACCTTTGGAATTCTATTAACCTACATCACTGTTAGTGAAAACATGTTTTCAAATCATTCTTTGTGCTAGTTTGATACTTCAGAGACAGAAAGCGCTGTACATAAGAATGTAACTTTATCACCAGGACAACACATCTGAGAGGTATGTTGTGTGCACAGTATTTAAATATAGCTTTAAAAGGGAGACGCTCTCTAGAGTACTTTACTACCCTGATCTGAAACAACTGATCTGAAGGGTTGCCAATTCAGAAAAGGAAAAAGGGGGGAAATTTTTAGGCCCAATAGGATCACTGTTAAAAATAAATACCGGTAAATAAAAGCCCTCAGTAGTCAAGCACATAAATGCTAATGGAAAGCAGACAGAAGGGGCACAAAGTGTGGCCAAAGCAAATGTATTCAAAGATTTAAACATATATTTGTGGAAATTGCTTTGCAAAACTCACCCAGCTCTAGTAACTGTACAGCACACAGGCATACAACTCTGCTCATATACTGCCAAACCAGGAGTTTCCATAGTCTGAGGTTTTTTCTGCAGCTGCATGTGACAGGGAGAAATTCAGCTCAATTTTTATCGTACTTGTGTATGGATGAAGGCATTCTGCATAGAGTATGAGATAGAAAATAGTCTCTTTCCATTGGCTAAGGTAGTGAATTTCCACATGATTACTTTCTGCATGTGACTCTGTATACTGATTGATTTGCCATCTTTTATGTTCACATGAGACTCCTTTTAACACTACACTGGTGCCGGTCTCAGCTATAATTAAGGCTATATCAGCCCTTCCTTTATAAAAACACCTGTTTGGAGGTGGTTCTTAGCTTGAATACAGACTTTTGCTTTGGGTTGAAACTTTGTCTATGATGGGTCAGCCCAGTAGGCTCAGTATGAGTTTATAAATTGGAAGAAAACTCATGAAAATGTATTTCCAAAGAAGAAATTAAAAAAAAAAAAAGCCTTGTTTGTATGAGTCCCTTCCTCCTGTGACATTGCCCTCTATATGATTTTATGAAAATATGCTAATGAGTGTGAATATAATGTAACTGGAATATGCTTCATGCAAAAGGTCTCTTGTAAGGTATCATTACAAAGCTTATAATCTACTGAGTGTGTTCATCCTACTTATATAACGGTATCATACTTGTATCTGAAACTAGAAATATGAAATATAACTCTGAAGTCCTATTGTAATTATGCAAAGTATGGGCCATTAATGGTGGTTTGGAATCTTGATGGCTCCCATCAACTAGGACAATTGACTGTAGATGGCTCTGTTTACTTGTAAGTCTTCCTGTGTGCTGGCAAGTGGGTAATGAAGTCTTACAGTGACATGTGATCATGTCACCTGGTACTGGAATCCATCTTAAACCTGGTGTTTTTCCATTTAGAAGGAGGGATGGGAACTCAGAGAGGGACAAAGGATTCCCACCTTGTGCAAAAGATATATAAGGCGGTGGAACAGAACAAAGGGGGCTGCAGTCATGAGAAATCCCCTAGCTACCATCTGAGCTGGAACAAGGACTGTATCACGAGAAAGGATTGTCCCCAGACTAGGAAGGCGTCCAGTCTGTGAAAGAAGCTTATTGAAACATCTCTGAGAGTGAGATTTTTATCTGTATTCAGTTTTCTTACTGTATTAGGCTTAGACTTGAGTGCTTTATTTTATTTTGCTTGGTAATTCACTTTGTTCTGTCTGTTATTATTTGGAAACACTTAAACCCTACTTTTTGTATTTAATAAAATCACTTTGTACTTATTTAACCCAGAGTAAGTATTAATACTTGGGGGAGCAAACAGCTGTGCATATCTCTCTATCGGTGTTATAGAGGGCAAACAATTTGAGTTTATAAGCTTTATACAGGGTAAAATGGATTTATTTGGGGGTTGGACCCCATTGGAAGTTGGGTATCTGAGTGCTGGAGACAGGAGCACTTCTTAAGCTATTTTCAGTTAAGCCTGCAGCTTGTGGGGGACGCGGTTCAGACTTGGATCTGTGTTTGCAGCAGGCAAGCGTGTCTGGCTCAAACCAGGCAAGGGACTGGAGTCCCAAGCTGGCAGGGAAAACCAGCTCAGAGGTAGTCTCAGCACATCAGATGGCAGTTCCCAAGGGGGTTTCTGTGACCCAACCCATCACACCTCCCTTCAAGAAAAATGGAGGCAGAGAAGGGACACATTTGTGGCAGTGACGCCCCTCCTTTGCATCTTGTGGAATATAGGGACTTTCAAGTAGATGTAATGATCTTCCTAGTAATGCTAAGTTTTAATGTGACCTGCAAAGCCAACAATGTATTATAGTTCTGTGTATCTTGTGTTAATATCATGGTTGTATTAGGTATTACAGAAAGGGGACAGAGGACTCAGGAAATTCTGTGAGATGAAGCTCATGGAGTTTCTTCTAATGCTTGCCTCAGAGGGGAGGGATTTTGGGGCAGCAGAATTGGCATGGGAGATGTCCCTGAGAGAGCCCAAGCTCTGCTCTCAGCCCTGCAGAACAAGGAGCCTTGCCTTGTGCTTTTATGTGGTTTTCCCTACCTCTCCTTGCCAGCCCAGTTATCCCAGAAGCCACATTGGTGCGATCTGTCTCCTCCATATTGGTGTAGTATAAGCTGTGGGGACAATGCTACTTGGATGAGCATTAACTCTTGGATGGATACTCACGTACTTCCCCCCCAGTAATGAGATTCATTTACTGCAGTAGTATGGTTGTTTCTAATCAGTTTAACTTTCTAGGTCTCCTACACTAGCGCAGTTCTACAGTGTTTGGTGACAAACACTAGAAGGGAGTGTTTAGAGCTGAACAGAGAGGTGTTTCTATTCTTTTCCATAAAGTAATTTAAAAGCAAAACTTACCTTTTGGGTGTACAGCGCACATCAGGTGAAATCCTGGCCTCTTTGAAGTCAACAGCAAGACCCTATTAACATCATAAGGTCAAGATAATCACAAATTTGTGCTCACATAACCAGTGATGACCGTACACACAAATGAGGAACTAAACAAGAACCACCATGTTGATTTCAGTTCCATTTGCCAATGTGCATACACAAAATTTAAGGGCCGCCCAGGGGGGAGGGGAGGAAGTGGGGCAATTTGTCCCAGGCCCCCGGTCCCGGAGGGGCCCCCACGAGAATATAGTATTCTATAGTATTGCAACTTTTTTTATGGAAGGGGCCCCTGAAATTGCTTTGCCCCAGGCCCCCTGAATCCTCTGGGCTAGGGTTACCATATTTTAATTTAAAAAAAGGAGGACACTCCACGGGGCCCCGCTCCAACTCTGCCCCCTCCCCTGAACGCTCCGCTCCCTGCTCCTCCCCCTCCCCTGCTTCCCACGAATCAAATGTTCGCGGAAAGCCTGAAACAGGGAGGCAGCAGGTAAGCTGGGGCTGGGGTGGGGCGCGGCGCAGCCCAGTCCGGCCCCCCCAGCCGAGCGGCTCCCTTCGGCGGCCGGCCAGCCCAGGCCAAGAGGCTCTGGCCCCAGTGTCTCCCACCCGGCTCGGCTCCGGCCCTGGGGCCCCGGCCCCGCACCGCCGGCCCCGGCCCCGCACCGCCGGCCCCCGGCCGAGCACCGCCGGGGCCCCGGCCGAGTGGCCGCCGAGCACCCTCGGCCGAGCACCGCTGGCCCCGGCCGAGCACCACCGACCCCTCCCTCCCTATTTTCCCGGACATGTCCGCCTTTTTGGGATTTCCTCCCGGACAGGGATTTGAGGCCCAAAAAGCTGGACATGTCCGGGAAAATCCGGACATATGGTAACCCTACTCTGGGCGGCCCTGCAAAAGGTTGACCACACAGAAAAGAACAAAGTTATTTGGGACAAAAATTTTCTTTTCAAGCTCCTAAGAAACAATCAAGCAATAGAGGTTAAGATATAGTGTATTTAAAGAGTACTTAACAATGTCCTTTTGCAGGCATCACTGCGTATGATGAAAATTTCCAGAACACTTCCTTCCCCAAACACTCCCATTTAAAATGAATATTTGGGGTCAAGGTCATTAAAAAGAAAACACTATTAAATTCTTTGAAATTCTGTGGGGCACTAGAAATTTAAAGGTCTCTGGGACCCTTTAATTTAAATTTGACTAAAATATTTAAATAAACACTTAACCTCACTGGAGCGGCGGATTAATTTTTCTTTCAAAATGCTCGCATAACTGAATCAGAGTACAATGATTTTTTTTAAGCCCCAGACCTGGAAACACTTTCCTCACAGGAGTACTGAGATCAGTGGGCTTGCACATGTGTGTAAAGTTATGCCTACGCCTGTTTGAAGATCAGGGAGTTATTTAATAATGCATTAATTAAGGTAAAGTGTAGTAAAAATGAATAGCAATTGACATCCTGTTTTGGGAACCACAGCCTGCCCTCAATTCCAATGGACTCAGTGATCTATTAGGCCTTTTCCATGTCAAACATCCCATTGTATATTGCCATTAAATTTTCTTTTAGTTCCAGATCATCCAATCTTCTCATATGTTAGAAGCAACCAGCTCTGTGTGGTGTGTCATATTCTCTGAGCAGTTGACAAAATTCAGAGCTAAGAGTGAATGGCTCTAAATATCAGGTCCTGCTTCTGAAATAAGAACCATGAAATGTTTGAAGTTCAAAAGAATTTGCTGTCCAAAAATAGCATGAGAAAGCTGCCTCTGCTGATCTATTGTTGTGCCTGCCGGCTTGCAGCATCACACGGTACAACATTGTGTCACAAAAGCAGCCCCCAAAGTGTTTACTTTTTTATGACAAATACTCTAAATTGGGTTCTTATAGTGAAACATTGTTTATGCAGCTGTGATTTCATAAATGAATCCTGACATTCTGCTCTAATGCATCTTTGTTTCAAAGACACTATTTTTTTCCCCTCTCTTTTGTGGATTTTTCAAATAAAACCTCCTAATTAAGTACAATCGTTGTGCATGAGATCCACAAAATCAATTTGTTTTGCTGGGTTAAATGTTTCCATCTTTTGTTACATGAATGCTAGTCTCTTAAAGAGATATCCTCTTCTCCTGAATAGGTCTTTTGGAGCCAATAATTCAAACCCTTACTCACCCAAGAATCCTGTTGATCTTAGGGACTACTCGCATGAGTAAGGGTTTGAAGAAGCTGTTTTTTCCATAGGCATATTGAGTGTAAAACTAAAGACATATTGGCTAAATAGCGTCAGCAGGTTAGCATACTGGAAACTGATCAGGGCTGAACCCTGATCAAGCAAGAGTTAAAGGATCTTGTAGATTAAAGGTGCTATTTTCCCCTCTTCATTTGACAAGCCAGGTCATAGATTGACAAATATAGT